ACCCCAAAGCCAGCCGCTGCTGAAACTGACCAGGGGCTGACTACAGGAAGCCCGAGGCAGAGTTGCTCTCCCCCGGGCTTCCTGGAATCAGCTGCTGATCAGTTTCAGCAGCAGCTGACTTGGGGACACCTGGGGTTCTTAAGTTGATTCTGTATGTAAGTCAGAACTGGCAGTCAGTTTCAGCAGCGGCTGAATCTGGATGCCAGTTCCTACTTACATACAGATTCAACTTAAGAACAAACCTACAGTCCCTATCTTGTACGTAACCCGGGGACTGCCTGTACTCGATAAGTAAAAATGGGACAGAATAACCTTAATGCCAGCAATATATTCCTCAATTGTATTTTTATATAATCAAAACCTCACAAAGTCAAAGATCTGAGGATTAATGGTTCCCCCCCCTTAACTATTATGTTACTTGTTTCAAGAGAAAAAAACAACATGTTAAATTAGGGCATTTTGGAGAGGCAAAAAGTTACAGATAAACCTTTTCACTGCGTTCTAACAACTTTTTAGGAGTTAGAATGGGGAAAAATGGTGTACACTATAAGTAGTCAAAACATTTTATTTTAAAAGGAGAACAAACTTGTACAAAACAAGCCAAAATACTTTTATCCCCCAGGTCAACCAGTTAAACTAATAAAATAATTTTAAATAAAAAATTGTGTTTTAAAAAAATATTTTTTCTAAGGAATAACACTTCTCAGGAATTTCAGGTTGAAGTTACTTATTAAAACTATAAACAGCGAAAAGGTTTTTCTTCACTGTGATCTATACATCTGAAACAACTGTTGTAAAGACAGGATATGCTTAGGTCAATTAAAAATACATCTTCTCAACTGATAACAATTTACTATATTCTACTCTCTTACCTGTAATGACCGATCCCTCAGATCCTGGACCATTTCCCAAAGAATGGAGCTCTGTTACGCTTAATGCTCCAGAACTATCATCACCAATAGATAGAGAAGTCCTGTATGTTTTCCATGACTTGTAGGAACTCTCTAGATAAGGGGTTTCTGAGATCATCCTCCTCTAAGAGGGCAAAGCTGGTTTTCCGTGTCCACCATTTAATCCTCATATCAAACTGCTAAAAAATAAACATATATATATTAAGATACTACACATATATTTAGAGTCTCTATGAACTGAATCAATTACATACAGCATATAAAATGCATGAATCCATAATATGTAGTAAAATATTTTGTACTAAAATGTTTTTTTCAGAAGTACCATGGAAAATGAAACACTGAAGAGATGGTAAAAATCCCCATAGGTTGCCACACAAAAGATGATTATGGCTAAGTAAGGTCGATGCTACCTTCTCTCTCTCCTACTATTGATAGCGGCAAATTACGTTTCTGTAGCAGACAAGCATTCCAGCCTGAATTTTGCTAGTTAAAAGGCAAATGTCTATGAATAAACCTACAAATTAAGAGTATGCATCAAAACACTTTAGTGATCAGTTTATCCACAGCTATTGTTTGATAAGAATCAGAAGACATGCATCAGGTGCTCTCTTCATCCCTCCCAAATTGGTTCAGTATGCCCTGTGATATCACAGGCATTACAACTTTGTCGTATGGAAGTATTGCTCACACTGGGTTCTGTGGCTCCGCTTCTGATCCACTCTCTTTCTCCTCTCTCCCAGTACCTCCTAAGGCCTGGGGCTAAGGCAGGCTCCCTACCTGCCCTGATTCCATGCCACTCAAAATGCTGGCAAGGTCCCTGCAGCCCTTATGTTCAAGGGCAGCCAGGGAAATTGAGAGCACTGACCTCGCCTGAGTGCCAGTTCCACATCTCCCAACTGGCCAGGAATCAGGACCAATGAGAGCTGCTGGGAACCATGACCAATGTGTGCTATGGGGACAACAACTTTTGGCGCACTCATGAGCCTAGGTGCTGCAGGAACCTGATGGCGGCTTCCAGGAGGTGCAGTAAGTGCTACCAGGACACTGCACCCTGAATCCCCTCCTGCTCCCACAACACCCTGCACCAGCCCAGCGTCTCCTCTGGCACCCAAACTCCCTCCCATAGCTCCCCCGTGTATCTCCTCAATCTCCTGTTCCACCTTGGAGCTCCCCTTCTGCAACCCAAACTCCTCATCCCTGGCTCCATCCCAGTACCTGAACCCCCAGCCACAGCCCTCAGATCCCTCCTACACGCTAAGCCCCTCTCTCAACCCAATGAGAGTGAGTGTGGGAGGGCAAGTCTGCGGGAGAACGGTTGGAGCAAGTGTGTGTGTGTGTGGGGGGGGGAGAATTAGAGAAAGGGCACGGCAGGAGTGGGGCCTTGAAGGGGCACAGGTTCTCCCAAAAAAAGTTTAAATCCAAATGGGGGTCCTCAGTTTGCTATACTTTGAGAACCGACCTGTGGTATAAAAATCACCAGGAAATAACAAGCCACATTAATTCAGGATGCAAATATGCTGAAGTCAGTGAAGTTACCTTGGAATAATCTCACCACAATGTACGCAATACAGAATACAAATGCTTTCTAGAGCTAGTTTTAATTGACCTATTGCAATGTAGTTATACACTTCAAGAGAAATATATACTTTCTTTGAAGAACCTTTGTCCTCAGCAGTTTGAAGGAGGATGCGTTCTCAAGAAGAGAAAAATTTCACATTTTAAAATTTTCTTTAGTTGAATCTGCCAAAAAAGGAAACAATGGCACATATTGTGTAATGTTGCTACTCATTCCAAGAAGTACTGCTGCTAAAAGAAGCTATTCTTTAAGGCTGAAACTATACTTTTAGCTGCATTTTTTTCAACTGGTGTAAGAACACATACAAACGCAGAATGCCTATGCACTGAATGTGCCAGTTACAGAAAAGCTTTGACATTTACAAATACCATATTCTTATCAATTTTTACCTCTTCTAAGTTTGAGAACATTTTGATAGGACAGCAAATTAAGTTTTAACACATACCCAATGCTAAAATCATTTGCTTATTTGGCATTGTTTAAAGTTGCGAACAGAGGAAGTTACTCACCTTGATGCAATAATGACAGTTTTTCAAGATGTGTCCCCCCCATGGGTGCTCCACTGTAGGTGTCAGGCTCGTCCCAGGAATTTTGAGTAGCAGTAGTCAGCTGGAGCACGCATGCGTGGTAGACGTCTTGCGGCATTAATGCTGTTTTGCACACGTGTGCAGTCCAATTCCAGCCAGTTCTTGTCTACTTGAATACCTGAAAAAAATGGAAGTGAAGAACAAGAGACCCCGGAGTGGGGAGGAGGATGGATAGTGGAGCACCCATGGGGACACACATCTCAAAGAACCGTCATTACTGCACCAAGGTGAGTAACTTCCTCCTCTTCTTCAAGTGACGTCCCCTGGGGTGCTCCACTGTTCTGTTCTGGAATCATGCTTTAATTGCTGTTGAAAGCACTGCTGAGGCTAATGAGGAGTCCGCAGCCAAACGGTGCACAATCGCATAATGCTTCATGAAAGTTGCATTGGATGACAATGTGGCTGCATGACAGATGTCTTGGAGGGGAACTCCTCTAACAAAGGCTGGGGATTTAGCTACAGCTCTTGTGAAATGAGCTTTGATTTCTGTTGGAAGTGGCTTATTGCGTATAGAATAGCAAGTGGTGATGCATGAAACTATGAGCTTAGCAATGTCTTGAGATGATAGTGCTTCGCCCTTGGAGCGATCGGCTAAGGAGATCAGTAAGAGTTGCATCTTCTGGAAGGCTCGAGTGCTATTAATGCAAAAGGCAAGCGCTGTTAGTAAGTCGAGGGAGTGGAGGGTTGTCTCTCAAGGAGAGGTATAGGGCTTGGCATAAAAGGAAAGGAAGGTTCAAAATGTGGTTGTGTAACTAGGTTGAGGACCAGGTCCAGGCTCTAGGATGGAGGTGGAGGTCTGTGAAGCAGATTAAGGTTACTCAACCCCTTTAGGAACCTCTTTGTAGTTGGGTGGGCAAACACAGAGTTTCTGTCCATAGAATGCCAGAAGGCCATAATTGCCAGGAGGTGTACTTTGAAAGAGGCAATAGCTACTTCTGAGTGTTTTAGGTGGAGGATGTATTCAAGGATTTGATGAGAGGGTGCTGCATATGAGTCAATGTGTGTGGTGGTGCACCAGGAGATGAACCTACACCACTTATGGAGGTAAGTAGAACAAGTGCTGTGCATCAAGACCTCAACCTGTGCAGAGCAGAGATCTTTAGATGTGCAGAACCAATTAGGAATCAAGATGTTAGGTGCAAGCTCCGGGGCTGAGGGCGTAGGAAGATGCCCCAGTCCTGGGTCAGTAGATCACGGAGTTCAGGAAGGGCATATGGTGGGTGCAGAGACATTTGGTGAAGAAAAGGAAACCAGGGCTGGCGAGCCCAGGAGGACGCTATGAGAATCACCGTGGCCCCATCTCGGTTTGATCTTCGAGGACCCTGGGAATAAGCACGATGGGAGGAAATGTGTATAAGAGGGGACCTTCGCCCCCAGCTGAGGAGAAAGGCATCTCCTAGGTATCCCTGACCAATGTCTGCTCTTGAACAGTAATATCAGCACTTTGTCTCCTACAGAAATACAAACAGATCTATTAGGGGAACGCCCCAGAGATGGAAAATATGTTGGAGTATATCCTGTCAAAGTTCTCACTTGTGATCCGGTACAAAATGTCTGCTCAGGGAATCTGTGGCAGCATTGATGATGACAGTAAATAAGATGCTATTAGAGTGATCTTGTTGTGAATGCACCAGTTCCAGAGGTGCACTGCTTCTGCACAAAGGGATTGGGACCAAGTGTCCCCTTGGTGATTTATATAGTACATTGTGGCAATATTGTCAGTGAGTATTTTGACCACGGTGCTGTGAATATGCATCTGGAAAGGTCTGCAGGCGTTGAAGACCATCCTCAGTCCCAGGATGTTTATGTGGAGAGCTGTTTCTCATAGGCTGTGTCTAGACTGCAGGGTTTTTTCGAAAAAAGTAGCCTTTTTTCGAAAAAACTTCACCTGCGTCTAGACTACAGCTGCGTTCTTCCGAAATTAAATCGAAAGAACGCGGCTTTTCTTTCGACGGCGGTACTCCTCATTTCACGAGGAAGAACGCCTTTTTTTGAAAGTGCTCTTTCGAAAAAAGGCATTCTTGAATGCAAACAGGGCTTTTTCGAAAGAGCATCCAGACTGCCTGGGTGCTCTCTTTTGAAAAAGTGGCTTGCTTTTTCAAAAGTACTGCTTGCAGTCTAGACGCTCTTTTTCGAAAAAGGCTTGCAGTCTAGACGTAGCCATAGTGATCATCATACTTGGACAGACATGCTGTCCATGTGGGCACCTTAGCACAAGGGAGGCATTTGTAGTGGGCAGAAGGTTGAGGCTGATGAAATGGCACTCCTGCAAAGAAATTGCATGGTTCGGTCCACCATCTGAGGGCAGTTCAACCATCAGATGGTGGGGTCATCCTTTTGTGGACTTTGTGCCTTGTCGGAGTAAGCAGACGCTATCCAGTGTTGAAGGTAGTGGAAGCATAGTCGTGGACTACATAGGTTGTGGCTGCCATGTGGCAAATCAGTTGTAGGCATGTACGTATCAGAACTGTAGAGCTTGTAGTAACCACTACAAAAAGGTCCTGGAACCTCTGGGTAGGTGAGTAAGCTCGTGTTGTGGAGGAGTCGAAGCGAGCTCCTATGAATCTCAAAGTTTGGGAGGGGTTGAGTGTGGATTTCTTGTTGATGATGTTCAGGCTGAGAGAATCAAAAGTTTCTCTGGCTATAATTCTCATATGGTGTGTTTCCACTGAGGACTGGCCTTTTATAAGGCAATCATCGAGACAGGGGAAAATAATGCACTGTCAACATAAGTGTGCTGCTACCACTGAAGGGGTTTTTTAGAACACCCTGGCTACGTCTAGACTACATCCTTTTTCGGAAAAGGGATGTAAATTAGACGTATCGCAATTGCTAATGAAGCGAGGATTTAAATCTCCCGCGCTTCATTAGCATAAAAATGGCTGCCGCTTTTTTTCGGCACGGAGCTTTGCTGGAGAAAAGCGCCAGTCTAGATGCTGATCTTTCAGAAAATAAAGCCTTTTCCAAAAGATCCCTTATCCCTCTTGAAATACGTAGCCCCTGGGTGCAGAGG